ATTCTAGATGATAATAATAATAGTCTGAAAACTTCTTATGAGAAAAAAAAAACAATCTTTATCTCTTATCTTTAAGATCTTTGCTTCCAACATGGCTGCAAGCAACCACTATTAGAGTTGGAAGTAACTGGAAGAGAAAAGATGAAGATTGTAGAGCAAGATAACGATTGACAGACGACTTAAAATTGCAAAGTAAATAAAATCAGGAAAGCAAGATGAAGGAAGCAAATTCCAACGAAGAATGAGATTATGAATGAGTTAAAGAGAGATCAAACTTTGTTCAGAAGCACCTAAAAATTAAAGTGGAGAAACTGAGCACTGACTAAGATCAGAAACATAAGTCATAGACACATACCGAGTAGAGAAGATGAATGATTCCAATTGTCTGAAAAGCGAGTTGGAAAGTCGATTATTTATGTAAGAAATTGGTAGAAAAAAAAAATTATGTTAAACATTAGCCTTAGTTTTGACAAACTAAGGCTAATGTTCTTCCAGTTGTCACAGACAACTGGAAGAACATTAGCCTTAGTTTGTCAAAACATACATAAATTTGGTCAAACAGTATTTTTGTGACAGTACCAAGTATCTAGTAAGTTATATTTTTTAACAATGAACTGCAAAAATACTTTATATGTGACAGTTATCAAGATTAGATCAAACTATCTATTGCTTTCTGGGTATGATAAATGAATTTTAAAAAAATCTTTCTTGAATGAAAAGTAAGATTAAAAGTAAAATTCCTTTTGGTACAATCCAACTTACAACTAACAAAATAAACTTACAATTTTTATGTATCATATCATCCATGGATCTTATATGACTTAAGTATGATTTCTTCTGATTCAAATATGCATCCCGAGCATTATTGATATACTTTAGAGTTGAATAAAAACCATCTGCCATTGTTTGGTATCGTGAAATAACATTTTGTTGCTGTTGGCAAGCATTTGGAGATTCTGAAAGAACGCATGAAATTCATTATTAAGTATAAAATTGAAGGTTTTACTATAGTAAAACAAAATCCATACATATATATACATATACATTTATATATAATCCATATATATATACATACACATTTCTTAAATACAAAACTTGTATTTTTTTACTTGAACTATTCATAATGTTTTTTACTATTTTTATTTGCTTAACTAGTTTGTTTATACCTTCTTTAAGTATTTTTTCATGTTTAAAATTAGTAGCAAAAATCATAGGTTTTGCTGCTTCTTGTCTTTTAGCACCTAATTCTTCAAAGCTATGATCTTTCCATGGCTCAACATTTTTCAAAAGATTCATGGTTTCTTGACTACGAAGGCGCACTTGTGGTAATGGATCATAAGCAAGTTTATGGTAATACAACTGCTCTTTGGTTAGCACAGTAGTTCGCTTTTCAATAGAAGAAGTTGTTTTTGAGCTAACTTCGTTTTCAACACGAGATGATTCACTATTAACCTAGAACAAAATTGATCTTAATTAATTATTAACTAAATTATTATATATTTGATTAAAAATGAATATATATTTGATTAAAAATAAATATATATTTGATTATAAATTATCAAATATTTGATTAAAAAAGATTATTAAAATTATACTCCATTCACACCGCAAATTAAATAAGTTTTAACAGTAGTATTTTAAACATCTTTTATATTTTTTCATTCAAATCAAATTTTGAACTGGTTTTAATTCCAAAGTTATTTAATAAAATAACCTCATAAAAAAAAAAATGTTTTTTATTTATAAGGCTCGGGTTGAAAAAAAAATTTCATACTAGTTTTCAAAAAATTTCAGACTAGTTTTTCTACAGAAAAAAATATGAAACATTATGGACCAAAAAAATGGAACATCACATTTTTTTAAAACTGAAACAACCTCAAAATCAAATATCTTTAAATCGTAAGAGAACGAATCTTATTTAGGAAGTCCTAGAGCTTTAAAAGAAAATTTTGAAGATGCTATGGCTATCAATAAAAAAATATGGTAAATCATGTCTTTTTATTATTTTACTAGAAACCAAAAATGGTGTGATAACTGAAAGAAAAAAAACAACAGATAACTGAAAATTTATATTAAGGTTAGTCTGCAAATGATAGATCTGACACCTGACATGAATATTTTAACTCAAACTAAATAATCGCCTTAATGATACTTTTAAGAATGGTTTATCAGGGAAAGTTGTAACCCATGTTCAAGTTATTGAATTTCTAAAGCATGGTTTGCCAGATATTCTTTACTTTACTTTAATAATGATAATAAGTTCTATATCAACAATTTAATATCTGCAAAAATTTTAGATCCGAATGTAAATTGCAAACTTTATGACATCATTAAAACTTATATAATTTATAGTCCATGTGGTATATTGGATCCAAATTCTCCATGCATAAAAGATGGAGTATGAGGCAAAAGAAATCCTAAAAATGTAATGCTACCATAGTAGCAGTTCATAATAATATATGTCACAGTAGACATCATAATAACTGCTTGGTTTTAAATATTAAAGACAAAAATGTAGATAACCTTTACCTGGTACCTTACAATCCTTGGTTATCAAAGAAATAACAAGCCCACATTAATATTAAAGCATGTCTGTAAAGGCTGCTAAATATTTATATAAATACATATGCAAGGTGCATGATTGCGCAAACATTTTGATAAATAAACAAATTATTTATGATAAACACTTTTTTAAATTGTCTTTAGGTTGGTGCAACTGTAACATTGTGGCAATTATTCAAGTATCCCATAAGTTTATCTTCCTGAAAATCCTGAAAATTGGGAATTTTAAAGGAGCAGAATTGCTTTAGATTATACTGCTTATTGTGATTAACACCTTACACCTTGGTACACCCTTACACCAACTCACCTTATGGTTTAAATTGAGTTCCAAAAATAAAGCAAAATGTTGCTATTTATATGTAGATATTCCTTTGATAATATTCCAACTTGATAACTATTTTTCTTAGATTTTTGTTAATTTTGTAACAAAAATCTCTCTACTTATTCTTCACTCGCCTCTCCAAGTGATTAAGGAAACTGATCAAGATGACTATTTACATAATGAAGTTTTATATTCAATTTACATCACAGAATCACAGAAGGGTTATACTCTATTAATATTATACAAACATATTTATTTTTTACATTTTGATAAAGTTAATATAAAATGCTTTCCTAATATCGGATAACAGCTATAAGGTTTTGTGACCCTGATATAGAAGTAGTTAATTAACAACAGAGCTATGATATAATTGCACGGTGATGTACATATTCTATTCTATTAATTAAATCTGCATAGTTTTTAGCAATACCCACAAACAACAACCCTTTGGTTTTCTCCTTGCTATCTATTGTTTTAACAAATTCTTTATCATTTATAAGGTATCAATTTTGTAGACCATCAAAAATTCCAGCTTTTTTTTCTCTAATGACAAACCTGGTAATGTTTAAACTAAATACTGAAAGCAAACATTATTAGTTTTCAGTGCTTTAAAAAATTGTTTCATGAAACCAAGTTTAAGATGGTATGGTGTGGTACTTTTGCTACTTTAAAAAAAAAAGCCATGTTTTGAGAAGATTTACATGCTGTTAATGGTATTGTTTTTGAAATGTTTAGTGAAGCATACATTTTAAATGGCTTGTTGCACGATGATATTGAATGACAGAATACTCTTAAGACAGTTTTAATGCATGCCAAAACAAATTAGACAGTTTTTTTCAATTATTAGACCTTTTGTGAACCTGAAAATCAGTTAAAAACATAAAAAAATTTTATGTTGTATGATTTCATTTGCCACTCAGTCCCACTTATAATAGTTGAACAATCTACTCTTCATCAAGTTAAAAAGATCATTAACCAAAGAGGTAAAATACTGAATAATTATTATCTGCTTGCTATTGATGAATTCATAGATTTTATTCTAGAAAAAGTTGATGAAATTGTTCATTTGATCATTTGATAATCGAATCGAATGAGAATGCCAATCAACTGAATGCATGTTCTTGCTGCATTGAATGAGCAACCAAGTGTAGAAAATAAAAATTCCTAATTGTTTTTCATGGATAGACCAGCTGGTAGTTAAATAACATTTACTTACAATTATTTGATTACTGAAACCATATGTAGTGGTTTTAAATCAGTTACAGCTGCATGGACTGGCATTGTAGCATCTCTTCTTACAAATGGATCTACATTGCATGACTTATTCAAACTTCCTATCCAAACATTAGATAACAACACATGTAACGTAACTCCTAAATCTATGGATACATTTTAAGGCAACTTACTTTGTTTTTGCTTGATAAAGCATTCATGATACCTAAACATATCTTAAATGCGATTGATAGGTTGATAGTTGTTTGCAACAACAACTTTCTTTTTGGAGGAAAAGTCATTCTTTTTTTGATGATGACTTTAGCAAATACTGCAAGTTGTAAAAAGAGAGCAACCAGCTGAAGTTATAGAACCATGCGTAAAACGTTCTTTACAGTGGTAACAGGTACAAAAGTTTGCATTAACCAAAAATATATGTACATAATGAGGAAGAAGAGTTTTGCCAATGGCTATCAAAATTTGGTAGTCGAGCAATACTTGCCAAAACAATAGTCAAAACAATAGTGGAACAATATCTGTCAAAAAGGAAAACCCTTGTAAAATGTGCATTGAAATACTGCCTCAATGCAAATGACTCAATTGTTAAAAAGATGCAAAACAAGAAGATTATTTTAAACTTATGCTTCTAACACCTAATTAACAATCCAAATCCATCCAATTAGAAATCCAATGTGGATTAATTTTTAATCAATAAAGAAGTGCTTGAAAGTCTACTTGGAGAGGTCAAAACTTATTTAAGTTCTAATCAAATTAAGACTGATAACCTTAATGAAAGAAAAAACTTTTCTGTTGAGGTTTTAAACAGCTTAACTCCTTAAGGTATGCCTCCTTATTATTTAAAAATGAAAATTGTTGCATAATTATGCTACTTAGAAATTTATATCTCAAAACTGAGTTATACAATGGCAATAGATGAAAGTTTGTGCTTTTCAAAATAATTATATTGATGCAGAGATTTTGGCAGGTGTTTCTGGTAGTAAATAGGTATTTGTTCAACAAACTAAGCTGGTTCCATCAAATTTAACTTGGTTGTAAAACATTGTCAGTTTCCTATCCTATTAACAAATCTAATGACCATTAATAAAAGTCTAGGTCAAACATTTGATAGAGTTAGTTTATATTTAAAAAAAATTGTTTCTCTCATGCTAAACTATATCTTGTATGCTCGAAAAAAACATCATTTAATAGTTTGCTTATTAAAACTGATTAGCATCCCATTCAAGGTTAAGTAGTTGAAAAATGTTACACAACACAAAAAGTTATTGTTTGGCAGTGTTTAGTGTTAAACGTTGTTGCTGATTCAGAGCTAGGTTGTGTTGTCTAGTCTTTTTTAATTATTCTGGAAACACATAGCAATGTCTGTTAATAGTTAGCAAAATGTGTACTTACAAATATGTAAATGTAATGTAAATGTAAATGTAATATACTACAATTATTTTTTTCTTTTAATACTAATTCACTAACAAGGCAACAAGCAACAACTGCTAAATTGGAAGTTACTAAAAAAAAGTGTTAAAAAACAAAGAAATGGTTTCATGGTGTGAAAGGAAATTAGAGCTACAGCTAATATCCAGATGACTGGAACGATCACCTTTGTCATCATTCAAACTAAAAATTTCACTATTTTTAAGTTTTTGAAGTTAATTTTCTTTTTTTAATGATTTCCTTAGCTATCTACTATGCAAGTCCTTTAATTTTTTCAGGGGGTATTAGTTAGGATGCAGGAGTGCCCCTATTTTCTACCTTCAGAATTTCGGACATTGAGATCAAGCAAACCCATTTAAAAAGATCAACTATTCTTATGTTGATATTTTTTTGAAAAATTCAAAAGAGTATAATAGGGTGAAAATAAAAGGGTGGGATAAAATATCAACATAAGAATAGTTGATCTTTTTAAATGGGTTTGCTTGATGATTAGGGTGTTGGATTAGGGTGTATGCTGGATCAGAGAATTCAGATATTTAAAATAAGAGAAATTGAACATTGTATTGAACTTTGTAAAATTCATAACAAAATATATATATATATATATATATATATATATATATATATATATATATATATATATATATATAAATTTAAATATATACTTATAATAGTTATTATTAAAATAATCATTTAAATATAATAGTTAATTAAATATAATATAAAATAATTAATTAAACATAATAGTTATTATTAAAATAATATTTAACTTCATTAAGTACTTTTTGTAGACTTTAATTAAACATTTCAATATTTAATTAAATTGCTTTCAACCAAATTTATTATTTAACTAAATTTAAATTGATTAGAGTGCTTCGTGCTAAAAATTGGCCAGGAGATCAAACACCTCCCATTTCTATAGTAGTATAGTCTTTAACTTGCTACTCCATAAAATTATATTGCTTTTATAAATTTTTAAAAATGGATTTAAGGGGTTGAAAAGAGGAAAATAAAATAAAAATAAAAAAACAAAGCAAACAGCTTTTTTCATAAAATTGGTTTAAGCAAAGTAAATTTAAAAAATTTGCTTTACTTATTGCATTAAATATTACTTTTTTTGCTTCTCCATTTAAATCTCCAACTTCAGCATTAATGCTTGCTGTCTTGCTATCCAAGTCTTCAATCTCTGGTACACGTTTTTTTGCAGCAGTTGAACCCAATGAATCATAAATGTTTAAGTTTAAGCAAATTGTTCCTTTAAAAAAAAAAAGGTTTATCATTATATTGTGCATTCATACACACACAAACATACACAAAGATATATATATATACATATATATATATATATATATATATATATATATATATATATATATATATATACATATTTTTTACAATCCTGCCGTGACTAAATAATAATAGCAGGAACTATGATATTATGTGTAATGCATCACATATCTATTTATATATTTCTTATATAATTTTATTCTAGAATAAGATGCACCTATATATATATATATATATATATATATATATATATATATATATATATATATATATATATATATATATATATATATATATATATATATATATATATATATATATATATATATATATACATATATATATATATATATATATATATATATATATATATATTTATATACACACACACACACACACATATAAATATATATATATATATGCATATACATATGTATATGCATATATATATATATTTATATGTGTGTGTGTGTGTGTATATAAATATATATATATATATATATATATATATATATATATATATATATATATATATATATATATATATATTTATATACACACACACACACACATATATAAATATATATATATATATATATATATATGCATATACATATGTATATGCATATATATAGATACACGGAAAAAATCACGTCTAAATATTTTACAGTATGTGTTAATAAGTTTTAGCTAAGAATAAAAAAAGTTCAAAAAGTTCTCAACCAAGAGGTAATCTACTGTTATTCAAATTATAAAAAAAGGATTCATAAACACTTATACTCAGACAGTAGATGCCTTCTCTAAATTATCTTCAATTTTTTTAAAGTACTTTAAACAAAAAAACCATCAAAATAATTGAGGAAAATTTATTTGCTTTTTAAAAAATTACAAAATGCAACAATAGTTTTATTTAATATTTTTTTGTTTTTTTTCTTAATTGTTTCATACTGTTTTTATCATTTTAATTCATTAACACAACTAACACTTTTTTTCTTTTTTACTTTATTTTTAGTCTACAAGCTGAATTTTTTTGGGATAGGTGCACTGAAGGTAAATTAAGTATTAACATAAATACATCACCTTCCACCACTCCAATGGTCACCCCAATGATCTTATCACTAAAAAAATATTTCTATAAAAGACCTGAATGCCAAGAGAATCAGAAATTTAAATAGGTTTTAAAAATAAAAATAGTTTTAAATAAAAATTAAATATTATTTATATAAACAAAACGCAACATTTTTTAACTAAACTTTATATGGTTATTTTTTCATGACATTTTGTAATAATTTTTTTCACCATGTTTTTATAATTTTGATAAAGTTTTTTAGTGTTCTTTATAAAATTTATATTCTATCTTCTATAGAATATACAGATATACAGTTCTCTATTTCAATAACTGGCGTCAGACTACTGATCAAAGCATTTATATATATATATATATATATATATATATATATATATATATATATATATAATATATATATATATATATATATATACATATATATAATATATATATATATATATATATATATATATATATTATTTTATAATAATATATTTTAAATTTACTTGGTATACTTTAATTTTACCATAACAAACATGCCTAATGTCCATATTTAAAATAGTAAAATGTAAGATTAGAAAAAGTTTGAAAATTAAAGGAATTTTTTTAAATATTAATAGAGTGCTTGCCCAAACAAAAACTCTCAGTTGATGTATTTACATGCTGCACTTAATCTACCTTTTCATCTATTTCAAAATAGTTCAGCTTGTATATTAAAAATAAAATACAAAAGTAATTTTTATATGAAATTTTGCAGCCATAGTTTCTTTCACCATTTTATTGATGAAGAGTATAAATTTTATTCTGTAAAGTTTCTGATATTTTAGTAAAGTTTTGGTTTTTTAGTGTTCTTTATAAAATTTATAATCTATATCTAAAACCCTCAGGTGATGTATTTATGTTAATTTTTATTTTTAAAACCTATTTAAATTTCTGATTCTCTTGGCATTCAGGTCTTTTATAGAAATACTTTTTTAGTGATAAGATCATTGGGGTGACCATTGGAGTGGTGGAAGGTGAGCTTTTTCAAAAAGTCAATAATAAAACCTATGATTTTTTAGCTACTTTTAAACCAAAATTTTTTGTTCAGCAAACTGAGAATATAAAAATGCCATAACCCATATATATATATATATATATATATATATATATATATATATATATATATATATATATATATATATATATATATATATATATATATATATATATATACATATATATATATATATATATATATATATATATATATATATATATATATATATATATATATATATATATATATATATATATATATATATATATATATATATATATATATATATATATATATATATATATATATATATACTTGAATATAGAAAAAACAACTTTTAATGGCTTATTTTAATTTAAATATAATTTATCATAAACCATTAAAAGTTGTTTTTTCTATATTTAAGTATAAAACGCTCTGTTTTTGAAAAACTAAATATTTCTTAAATATTGAGCACTCTACAACGATCAAGAGTTTAGTATTTTTAATACTAAATCATAATACAACAATATATATATATATATATATATATATATATATATATATATATATATATATATATATATATATATATATATATGTATGTATATATATACATATATATATACATATATATATATATATATATATATATATATATATATATATATATATATATATATATATATATATATATATATATGTATGTATATATATACATATATATATACATATATATATATATATATATATATATATATATATATATATATATATATATATATATATATAAATATATATATATATATATACATATATATATATATATATGTATATATATATATATATATATATATACATATATATACACATATATATAGATAGATATATATAGATATAACAATATATATATACAAATTTATCAAAATATAGTTTTTAATACTAAAATTTTTTATTGAAATATGTACCTTCAAACTGCTTCCTCATTGCTAATAAAGTCACATCAAATTTTATTCCAAGGCAAGCATGTTCCTTTGGATCAATCTTCCCAAAAACACAAAACTCGTGAATGGTAATAAATGATGAAGCAGCATCAATAATTTTCATAGGTAAATCCAGAATTGCTATTTTAGTGTAATAAATAACAAATAGTTTGTAACAATATGTTATAATAACTATTAAGTGTTATAAATGTATATAGTAATTGTTATAAATCTATATTTATAAAAATAAAAATCTAGAAATTATAATCTAAATATTTTTATTACATCTTAAAACTACTATTATTATTACAATAAAAACTAATAACAATAACACACAACATGAACGCTAACACACAAATACACAAAACACACAACATAAACACTGACACACAAAACACCCAACATAAACACTAACAGACAACATAAAGACTAACACACAAAACACACAACATAAACACCAACACACAACATAAACACTAACACACAAATACACAAAACACACAACATAAACACTAACACACAACATAAACACTAACACGTAACATAAACACTAACACACAACATTAACACTAACACACAAACACACAACATAAACACTAACACACAACATAAACACTAACACACAAACACACAAAACACACAACATAAACACTAACACACAACATAAACACTAACACACAACATAAACACTAACACACAAATACACAAAACACACAACATAAACACTAACACACAAATACACAAAATACACAACATAAACACTAACACACAAATACACAAAAAACATACAAAATACACTAATTTAGTCTTTTCTTAAACTTATACAATTAAAAAAAACAAAAACTGTTTATGCTAAAATTCATTTAATTTAGATATACAAAATTTTATGGTATCAGTTTTTTATGGTTTGATTACCTTTGGTTGCTTTTTCTGCAAATTCAAGCACTTTATTTGCAGCATCTAAAACACCTTGAGCAATCTTTTCAATAAATGAAGTTGCATCTAAAAGAGCAGTCCCAATTTCAGACAATCCAAGTAAAATCTAAAAGGAAAAAAAAAATTTATTTATAAATCTAAAATAATTGTTACTTTATGGTTTATTAAGGTATATGTGTGTGTGTGTGTGTGTGTGTGTGCATAATTAATACTTTATGGTAACAATTACACACAAACACATACACACACATATATATATACACCTAACAAATTTAAGTTAGTACTACCCTAATATATATTCTACACTTTAAGTTTGTATTTTTTCAGAAATCTTTTTTTTGTTTACATACTAAAGAGAACATCAACTACTACTGCAATTGTTATAGTCAATTAATACTGAATGGGATATCTTTTCTTTTTAAGGACCGCCTAAGTTCATGCCAGCATAATTCTAACCAATGTTTTACAGTAATCTGCTGAGACTTTATTAATCCAAACTTGTTTATGGACATTTTTGAGATCAGTTTTGCTTGTTGGATAGTGGTCTGCAACCTTCTTTTTTATAAGGTTCTAACGATTCTCATTTAGATTCAAATCAGGTGAGTTTGAAGATCAGTCAATAAGAAGATGTCAGCAAATCAATTCTTTACTGAATTTGCTGTGAGACATGACACCAAGAGCAACTGTGTGGTGAATACAGTCTCACTACTGATGCTTATGAAGAACTGAATCTGATGCTTATGAAGAACTGAATACCAATAAAATTCTAGAGCTTTTATATACTCTGCTTTATATAAACTGCATTAAATTTGACTCCTTTGTTACATATTTTTAGTTCACATCCCTATTCAAAGTTATAGCTCCATAAAACATTGTAGATGGCAGTTGTTTGCCAGTTTTAACGTTGTATTTCAGGTCCTAATGTTTTCCTACAGGACATTATACATAAATAATACATAATCAGTCCCTGAGCCATAAACATCTTGAAACCTACTCCTCTCTGAACATCATATCCTTGTGATTCCTAAAAAGTTGTTTACAAATCATTAAAAATTTTATTTCCAGTTATCTTGCTACTAACTTGAAGTTATTTGATAAACACCTTCTAATGATTCTTAAGCTGATGTTGGTCCCACATTGTCTTGCTTCATGTGGTATTTAAACAGATGATACATGTGGACTGCAATTAACAGCAGCTTTCATCAATCGATCTTTGATAGCATTTATTTCTTGTTTACTGTGGCAGTACAATTTGAGAATGTAACTAGTCTAATGACATTCTGTATTGCAGCTCTTGAAATATTTAACCATTTAAACTGTGAATTTCCTTGCGAATTAGTATATTAACCTAAATTTTTTAAAAATCAGTTATATCAAATTTTTTTATCATATATTCATCATACTTATGATTGTTTATCATTACTTATCATAAGTTGTATTTTCTTTGTTTACAAATTTATATATATATATATATATATATATATATATATATATATATATATATATATATATATATATATATATATATATATATATATATAAATCATATATTCATCATATTAATCATATATTCATCATGAAACAGCCATATATGTTTCTATATCTAAAGAGGTAAGGAAATATGGTAAGATATCGTCCATAAATTATGCAACTAAAAATTAAACTTATAGACAAAAAACAAAAGATTAAAAGCTTTCCTTGCAGAGTCTTTAATTAAATCAAGTATATAAACAACCTTGCAAGTCCAGCAAAAACTTCCACGCAAAAGAGCAAAACAATCTCCTACATGTTGCATAAATTATGGATGATCCTTAATGCTATTTAAATATTGAACTTTTAATGATAGAAAAACTAAAATATGAACTGATCATAATCTACTACATTATTAACAAATTTTATTGCTTGTTACTTATTTTTAAGTACTACACATGGAATGTGCAAAAAATTTGATGTATATAGGATTGAAATCAGTCAAAATACAATTTAGATAATTTAGCGAATGCGTGTATAAAGTATATTTTCTAAATTTGAAACTCATGATGTATTATATCTATATGCATTTATATTTATATAAACACCATTATGATCAACATGATAATCATTATAATCATCATTATCATCATCATCATCATCATCATCATCATCATCATCATCATCATCATCATCATATTCATCATCATCATCATATTCATTATCATCATCATCACCATCATCATCATCATTATCATCATCATCATTATTATCATCATCATCATTATTATCACCATGATCACTGCTATCATCACTATTATCTTCATCATCATCATCATCATCATCATCATCATCATCATCATCATCATCATCATCATCATCATCATCAAAGCTTTAGCTTCCCCTTCTAAGCTGTATCTCTAATATAAAAAACCTTGAGCATTTTTGTTCCTCATCTAAAGTTCGTTCATACCATATGTAATGCACTCTCTCCAAGTTTTCTTACTTTTACCTTGTTCCTTGAAGCTGCTACCTCTCTAAATGATACCCAAGCCACTTTAATCTTCTCTGACAAATATTGTTCAATAAAATATTTTTTCTAATCTCTGTCTAAGATTATGGCTCCTTTTCTTTTCTTATTAGAGTCATACCACACATCCATCTGATCTTTCAGCAAATACTATAAAAATACTATAAAAATACTAAAGTTTGTACAAATATGCAAAAATATTGTATACCAGCTTCTAATATCTTTACATATTTTTGTATGTAAGAAAAAGCCCTGTCAATATAAAAGTCTAACATTCCATCTTTAATTCATTGGTCTGATCATGTTGTCTGCATAGAACTTTTCCTTTAATTTGACTCTTGAATCTAATGGCCATACTCCTACAGCCATTCCAGTTAAACAGATTAATCTATTGTTAGAATCTAAATCACTTTAGCTTCCAATGCTTAAGCCAATTCTCAATTTAAATCTTCTTCAGCTTTTAGTTCAGACAACATTTTTATCATTGTCTTACAAAAATATTCTCCAGAATTTTTTTTAATCCTTGCTAAAACTACTGTTAAGTGCTAAATATATGGTTCTAATATTTAAAATCAATCTTTAATCTGTTGTTTCTTATGTAACAGCTTGGGACATGCAATGACTTGTGGATTTCAACTTCAACAAAACTCGGTTATTTATTGCAAACATCACAATATTGTTGACATTCCTATATTGACAAGTAACAACACTCTCATTCTCAGACAAAGTCCAAAAACACATTGTAAATGTAGCTGGACCTGCTTTATCTGCCAAGCTTGAGCCACTTTCCCATTGTTGCAAGATTGTATCTCTTTCTTTTTTCTACAAAACTATCAAGGTTACTGCTCAAACGAGCTATCATCTTTAGTTCGATCAACCAAAACTCATTCATGTTTTAATTTTCATTCAGCAAAGCTGCATCCTTTTACTGTATCTGTCCCTCCATGCTATCAAAATTGTTCATTTATCAGGTTTGTTTCTGCGTCAACAAAGCCTCAAAACTCTTGCTAATCTTCATATTTTCCTAATCATACAACCTACAACTTTTTAAGTCTTCAGTTAACCGTTTCCGTTCTCTTTAACACTATCCTTTGTTTTCTAATAACTCATAACTTATTAGTGGTTGCTTACAACCCTGTTTGAAGTTAATTAGTTTAAAAAAACATGTATATGCCAGTATTTAATAAATAGTAAATGAATGCATTAATTTATAATATATAAAGTCAACCCCTGCTGAATCTTATAATTTTGAGAAGGCTAGGGCTGGAGTCGAGTTTGTAAAACGTCCCATTTTAGCCAACGCCATAATCCTGGTCACTTACTATGTGGGGAGCATAAAAAAAAAGTCAGAAATTTTAGTGCTGCTGTTAATGTTAGTAAATTTTCTGTTACCTTAATTCCAAGTTGTTCGGCCCAAGCAACAAATTTATTGAATCCTTTACGAATCTCGCATCCAGCAATGCATAATAGATTTGGAACCTTCCATTTACAATTGTCCCATGAAAGACAACCATATGAAACACCCCATATTTGATAACAATCAGGTGTCCATCCGAAGAATGGAATACAAACTAAAAATATAATGAATAACCAATAATATTTAGTATAACTTCAATAAATATTTAAACATAATATTATAAAAAAAGTTTTTTTCATCATGATAAAAACATTTCAACTATTGCCTCCTATCATGTGATTTACTATACAAGCACAAATTTTATATAAAAATAAAAGAAAAAATATTAAATGATTATTTGAAAGGGATCTAAAATAACAAGCAAACTAAGGGCATTAAAACTAAATTCTGTTAAGCAATGCTTGTAATTTTTTGCAATGTTTGCAATGATTTCTAAATGTTTTTTAACCTAATAATAATAATTTACAATAGCTATATAATAATATATATGAAAAACATATTTTATATTATATTTTTTAGTTATCAGGTTGCTCCAAAAAGACCTAACAGTCTTATCACAAAGCATCACAAAAGAGCATTTTTACTGAGGTTTATGATAAGCAGTAAGGCAATGTTGCTAATATTCAAAAATAATAATACCAATATAATATAATATTTAAAGTAAGAATAATAACTAAAAATACTTAATCATTAGATTAGTTGTAAAATAAGTAATACAATGTACTTACACAAATATGTCTTTTAATCAAAATTTAAATTGTTAACTTGTACAAATTACAATACCTTGACCACATTCTTCAGTACAACTCTGACCAAGATCAGCTTTCTGTCTTTCAAGTTCTTCAGACCGAGCTCTTAATCTATTCTTATAATTTTCAATATCTGAATGCAAATTAACAAAGTAACCTATTAGTTAAAAAAATATCACCATATCTAAAAAGCATTATTTAGTAATCAGAATAACTAAGAAACAATAGTTTTTTACATAATTAACAAACAATAGTTTCTTCCATAAAAAACCCACACCATAATGGACAACTTAGGAAACATAATGGAATAAATAAATACTGAAGATGGAATAAAAATTTATCAGAGATTGTAAGATATTCAAACTGACAACAAATTAAAAATATATTGTTACTAATCACTTCAATAATAAAGAAAACTTTAAGAGAAGAATGACATTGTTTTTATGCTTTGAACATTTTGTTTATAAAACTTTTTGCATCAAGTTTAAATTTTATGTATTTTGAACATCATTTTTAACAGTAAAGTAGCCACAGTAACTAAAATATTTTTTCTAAATAATAAAACCGTACACTAACATAAAATGATATACACTTTGAAAACATTTTAAAAGTGAAAAATCCCTTTATTTGCTACACATGTTCTTTTTCTAGTTTTTTAGTCAACATACTTTATTAATTTAGTTGTCTTCAAAAAAATCAGGATTTTTTCAATACACATATTACCATACATACCAACAACCATACATACCTGCAACAACAAAACAATTTATTTTGTTCTTGTTGTTAAAACAAAATGTTATTTTTATTTTGAGTTTTTGTTCTTTTTAACCTTTGTTAAAACAACATTTTTATTTGTAATATGAAGTTAAATTTTATTAGAAAACAGTTTTGTCAAAATATTTTCCTACAATGTTTATTAGGTTTTTTTATACTATAATTCAAAATAAAACAAAAATAATTATAAAAAGTCTCTGTTTCAGATAACTAGAAATTCATCTGCTTTGTCTAAATTAAACTAATAAACCTTAAATTTAAAAGTTGTTGTTTTTAGCCCGTCATGTATATACTTGTATACAGCTTAAATATTAGATTATTGTTTTTAGCTTTATTTTTTATAAAGGTATATCAAGACATTAATTTTACCCTGTTTCCAGCCACGAACTTTATCAAATGCTTTTGTAACAGCTGCTTTAGATGCAGTGACAGCATCACGAGCACTAGAAAAAGCAGCTTCAGCTTTTTGTTTTGCATTAGCCAATGCTTTTTTAATGGCTTCAGATATTTGCTGTAAATCAAACTGTAGACACCCTTTAAACTATAAAGTTAATAAAAATATTATTAAAAATAATACTACTCTAATAATACTCTCTCTCTCTCTCTCTCTCTCTCTCTCTCTCTCTCTATATATATATATATATATATATATATGTTTAAGTTTCACAGTTTAAAAGCTGAAGGAAAGAAAAATGAGTTGTTAAGATTTCTAAACTTTTAAAATATAAGCGTATATATATATATATATATATATATATATATATATATATATATATATATATATATATATATATATATATATATTTGTGCGTATATATATATATATATATGCATATATATATATCCTACATATCAAAATCTCAGTAGATACTCTTTGCGAGATCAAATTAAAAGTTGTCCTCATTAATTTGATGTCAATTAATGCCAAAAAAATTGCTATATTTTTTTTTAATATTTTAAAACATTTTTTTTCTCACTAAAACGACCATAAATCTTTATTAAAGTGATTATTTTTAATTTTTTTTTTGCTTAGATTCTTTTCAGATTGATTATGAACAAGTTTTCGAGTTAATATACACTCACACATACATATTTAAGTTATGTATATTTGCAAAGAAACTTTACAGAGAACTTTAGCTGTTTAGTTATTTAAAAAATTAACTTACAGCAAAAGATGACAAACCATTTTCATTATACTGAGCTTCTACATTAATTTGAGCACGAAGCACTCCCCATATGTTACCCGTTATCACAAAAGTAAACTTTTCTGCAGTAATTTCAATTTTTAAATAACTTTCTATTCCAAGTATGCCAATAAATCCTTCAATATAGAGCTCAAATGTTTTTGCTTTTGAGTCTAAATTTAGTTTAAGCTTTGGTCCAAGTTCACGATTTTCTGTAGAGCGATAAACTTTAACTATACCTAATTAAATAAAAGAATACACAATATTAAAAAAATAATTTAAAAAAATCTATTTAGTACTAGATAATATCACATGTTACTGTTACCTAACTAACTTATAATCTAAACAGATAATATAACCAACCCAGTGATTAATTAATGACTAACTATTTTTTCTGTTCTTTTAAAAATTAAAATTTTTTTTTGTAATTCAAAAAACTCAAGTCTACCTAAACCCCTAACTGTTTTTACTGCACCCTTTCATCATATAACAGTATAACAGTAGATACAAAATGTATAAATACTTTTTATTAGGATGTTTAAAATACAAGATCAGTTTAAATTACTTTAAATTGCTTATAAATTTTTTATAAATGATTTAAATTGTGTATTAATTCCTGATATAAAAAAACTGTTGTGCTGAAAAAAAAAGCTAAGCATGGTACTACTAAGGACTTAGTGGGGATGTAACATTTAAGATGTAGAAAGTGAAGTGGATATGTAACACTTAAGGTGTAGAAAGTGCATTTTCCAAAGTCAAATTTTTTTTTACAGATTTAGTTTGTAGCTCAAGGTCAAAAAAATTTATATACCTAAAAAAATTGGTTAACTGAAATTGCAATTTCTTCAACATTAAATTGTTCTGGCCTTAAGCTTTATTTCAGATATCCATCTTACTTTTATTGGAAAAATAAAAGTCATGAAATTGAGCATTAGTTGATAACATTAGAAATGTTTTAAATTGAATTGAATTTAAAAGATAAAAATCTTTTATAGAGACAAAAAATATTTAACATTCAAATACAATTTTTAAAATTACAGCAAACTATTAAATTTTTATTACTTTTTAGACAACTGCTGAATAACTGAGCCTTTCTTAAAGTATAACTTAATGTCTGCACTCCTTTGTAACAGCTTTGTACAATTTTTTTTTTCTGTAGTCATTAATGACATTAAAGTCAAGGAACCATTTTTATCTTTTTGTATTTATTTATTTTTTAATATTCTCAAAACTCTATGATCCTGAAACACAAACCTTGACACAAAAATTTTTTTTTTCTGTAGTAATTTTTGGTATTACATTCAAGGAATCTTTATATATATATATATATATATATATATATATATATATATATATATATATATATATATATATATATATAATATATATATATATATATATATATATATATATATTAATGTTCTCAATACTCAATACAATTCTCAATACTCAATACAATACTCAATACAATGACGAAACACAAACCTTGACAAACAAGGAAACTGAGAAAAAACTTGAGAGAGGTGCAATTATAGATTTGGTTTAAACTTTGTATCTCTAACTTAAAAGCAATAGTGTACAGTAATATAGTAAATATCAATGATAATCATAAAATGCATTTCATTAGCATTTTATTTGATTAATGCAAAGCTAATGTAAGGCATTTTATAGTAGTCAGTCATTTGTTTTATGATAAATTGTTGATTTATGATAAATTGTTGATTTATGATAAATTGTTGATTTATAATAATTATGATAAGTAATAATAAACTGCTCTTCAAGAAATTTCAAAATTTTAAAACTACTTATGTTAAGAAGTTTGCTTTAAGAATATGCTTTCAATTAGGTCCAAATTAACACATGGTGTGGTAAACTAGTGGTAGAATCTCAGCTCACAATCAAAAGGTTTAAGGTTCAAACCCTGGCTATGTCTCTAAAAGTACTCCGCTCAACCTGTTTCTCCACACATTACCTTGTGTACACATCAATCTTGTTTCACATTATTTTTTTTATTTTTTTTTTGAGTTTAGGTTTGAGTTGAAATTAAAGAAAGAAAGTAAATTCAAAATTGAGTAACCTCATTAACTTGCCTCCTCTGGAGCTTTGGGGAGGTAAGTTAAATTGATTAAAAAAAAACTAAGCTATACTATAAGAAAAACAAGCAAAACTATTATTTATTGAAACTAAATATTAATTAATGAAACCTTAAAGTTATAAAACAATAATTCTTAATTAAACGTAAAATGAGTATTAAATATATGAAAGTAAAAAATAATATATATTAAGAAACTTGACAAAAGTATTTTTTTATGGTTATTAAAACTCATTTTTTAAAATACATAAACAAGTTATTTCATAAAAAAGTTAAATAACCTCCATTTTATTTTAAAAAAATTTAACCAACAAAGCAAAAAATCTAAAAAAAAGTTTACCATTTCCCCAGTCATTGATTGGATCAAAATCAGCTTCCAAATAAAATGTACCAGCTTTCCAGTTAAACTTTATTTCACACTTTATTTTATAACTCAAAAAATTTAAAGATCCTTTAAATTGAAACCCAGGTGGTATAGATATGCCAAACTCTTTTATTTCTTTTTCTAAAAATAGATATGTTTTAAAATATTTTTTAAACAATCACAAACAATGTTGTACAAGAGAAAAATTAAAAAAAAGCAGCAAAAAAATTATTGTGTTTGTAAGTTTTGTTATCTCAGAGATACAATTATCTCAGAGATAAAACTCGTTCAACTGATCAAGCAGAAGGACAAGAGTAAAGTGTGACTGGGTTTAGTAAATTTTCTTCACTTCTAGCAATATGTTGCATATTAAAGGTGTATACTTCTAAGGTGCATCACCAAAGATTTATAAAAAATTATATGTGATATGCATACTGAGTTTCATAATGTATGGCAGTTGTTTTTAAGCAATGAAGATTGATAATATCTGAAAAAAAATTTTAAAAAAAGTTTAAAGTATGCCAAACATCTTAAAGATAAGAGTTGAAGCAATGATTTTAGATAGAAAATAGAAAAAAATTATTATATACGATATGTTGAATCAGAAATGATTTAGATGCTTTAATCGTTCAGACCATTATGATGAAGATGAATGGGTATCATCATCTAGAATGTTGCAGTTTCAAATGAAAAAAAATATTAGAAAAGAAATAAGTAAATTTGGAGTGAGCTATTACAGATGATATAAAAGATGATGATGATGATGATGATGATGATGATGATGATAATGATGATGACAATGATGATGATGATGATGATGAAGATGATGATGATGATGATGATGATGATGATGATGATGATGATGATGATGATGATGATGATGATGATGATGATGATGATGATGATGATGATGATGTGGATGATGATGATGATTTTTTAATTTTTTTAAACTTTTTAAATTTTTTTAAAGCTACTTTACATATTACTTTACATATTTAAATATTTTATTACATTTAAATATTATGCATGCGTACTTGTATATTTTTATTTCAAGTTTTTATTTTGGGCTGTTTAATATTAAAAAAAAACACAAAAATCCAAAGAAAATATTAGACACTGCCTGCTGTATGAGTGCTAAATGAGGCATTCTTCTAGAAAAGCAATTTGGAATATTAGTTGTACAATAGCTCAAGCCTCTGTGTTATATGCTATAATATCAAATTGATTTAAACGTTTCAATAAAAATAACTATAAATTAAAAGATAAAACTAAATTTGAACATCTTAGCCAAAACTGCACTCTGCTTGGCAAGTACTCTTGCCATACTACTATTTCATGCCATCTCAAACAGCTTGGTCATTGCTTAAAATAAGGTGTTTGGTTTCCTCAAGATTTGACTCTGAATCAGCAAAATCACCATTTATAAATTTGTACTTTTCTGCTTAAGTTTGTTGAGTTGGCTCAACAATATTATAACAGATAAATAATAATAATAATAATAATAATAATAATAATAATAATAATAACAATAATAATAATAGATAAGATAATAAATAGATAAAGTTGAAAACAAATTTATTTAAAAAATGATTTTCAAACTTATAAATAAAGTTCATGTCTTGAATTTTTATTGTAACTCAAACTTAAAATTATTAGAAAAAATATAACAAAAACAATATAAAAAATATATACCATTCAAACCAAGGTTTAAAGAAATTAGTAGTTCTCCATAAAAACCACTTTCTCTAATGACTTGAGGAAGAGCCACGTTGATACCGAGTTGTTTGAGAACATTCTCTACTGTTAAATCTTTTCCAAAACTGCGAGCATAGAAGTAGTTATTGGATGGATCAGTTGGATCTACTCCTAAATACCCTTCAAACTTAAATCGATCTTCAGCTTTACCTTCAGCTGGTGCATAACCAATATATATTGCTGCTCCAATTTCTATTTTAAAAACACAAAAAATTCTATTTTAAAAACTCTTTAAAATTTCAACATTTATCTATATACTTTTTACTATTAAAGTGTTGTTTTAATATTAGGTTTTTAAAATAATTTAAAACACTGCTACTAATAATAGTAATGACGATATAGCTTTTAAAAGGCAAGAGTGAGATTGAAACATTATACTTGTCTATACTTTTACATTTACATAACTATTTAAAAATACTTACCTATTGTAGGTAATGCAGTTTTTAAATCTAGTCCAATTTTTAGCAATAAATTTCCAATAGCAAGCCATTCAATATTAAATACCTTCTCTATCATTCCTGTCACACTACCACCTATGTTAAGCTTTCCGCATAAATCAATACCAATAAAGCCTAAACATAAATTTTAAAAATTGACTTCCTTAAAGTTTACAAGCAAAACAAAAAAATAGTAACAACAAAGCTCACCTGCAATAGTTAGTTTTGGCTCTTTAACATGAAATTCACATCGAATTTCAATTTTATTTTCTCGTCCTATTTCTACAATTAGTGATACCTTTTTGAGATCAACATTTTCTGATAGTGGTATGGTGACCTCAAGACTAGCAGTTATCTTTACATATCCAGTGGCTAAACATGTTTGTTATTATTATTTAAAAAAAAAAACACAGATTATGAATCCACATAGGTATAATAAACATTAAGGTATGAATATGTAAACATTAAACTTCTTTAAGAAGTTTTATATAAAAATATAAAAATAGATTAAAAAAATATTCTTGAGAAAGATTAAAATAGAATAAAATAACTATTTTTTATTTATCATGCGAGTTACAAAATAACACCTAAATCATAACATACTAATGTTAACAATCAAACTTTGGGTTAATTTTTATAATAAAAACTTTTTAATTATTTTAACTTTTTAATTTTTATATTATTTAATTATTTATACTTAATGCTACTATTTAATTATATCTTTTTTCTATTTATTGAACAAACTTTTAAACAAAGATTTAGAAGTTCTGAAACTTAAATGTCACAAGTTATACACCAATCTCTTCAAGAAACTAAGTTTATACACTTATCTCTTCAAGAAACCAAATTTATACACCTATCTCTTCAAGAAACCAAGTTTATACATAAATCTCATCAAGAAACAAAGTTTATACACCAATTTCTTCAAGAAACCAAGTTTATACACCTATCTCTTTAAGAAACCAAGTTTATACATAAATCTCTTCAAGAAACAAAGTTTATACACCAATCTCTTCAAGAATCCAAGTTTATACACCAATCTCTTCAAGAAACCAATTTTATACATAAATCTCTTCAATAAACCAAGTTTATACACCAACCTCTTCAAGAAACCAAGTTTATACACCAATCTCTTCAAGAAATCAAGTTTATACACCTATCATAAGAAGTCATAGTAGCAAGTTGCATCAAACTTAAAATTAACAAAACAATTGAACTAAAACAAATGAAAAATTAAGCTCATAGAAGATTTTGATTGCAATTACCTTCTTTCATAAGGGAAGACTTAAAATTATTGACCAAGTGAAAGTATTGCTAAAGACTACCACTTACATTCGTTCTAGCAAATTTAAAAATGATTTAAATTTTAAAATGAAGTTAAACCAGTGTTATACAAGTGTAATATCAACACCATTTTTTTCCTATACTCTGGTCAGAAAATGATGCACCCCTTATTCTAGACTACATCAATAAGAGATAACTTAATCTCATTTAAAATGGAAAAAAAAAGAAAGTCAGATTTTTCTTTTTTGGACATTAACATATGCAAATTATATAGTTCCATAACAACTTCTATATTTTTTAAGAAAACTCACTTTAGTTAATAATATCCATTTATGCTGCTTCATCTCTTTTACACAAAGTAAATTTTATTAAATGCTTGATTGACATAATTTTCTCAAAAAGAACATTCATCTGTCTTATTTTATACTATATATAAATAAAATCCTATATTCTTAAATAGATAAAAAATTCTTTTAATTTGAATCTGAATCTGAAAACCAATTAGTCATGAAAAGGACATACAAAAAATCAGACATTTTAAAGAAATTTCTAATAGAATGGTTCAATAAAAAAATACACAAGAGAGTACATAATGCATGCACAAAATGAGGCATGCATTATACAGCAAAAGGACTTAGGGTTAAATTAATCCCTAATAAGTCCATTAATTTAGCTATAAAAATGAATTTTCTTATGTTGGCATAATATCTGTTCTAACTTAAAAAAAAAAATTAACAATAAATTTAAAAGACATCATTAACTTAGTATTTACCAAAAGACACCCAAATCATTAATTTAGTATTTACCACAATCAAAATCTTTAACATGTTTAACTCAAAAAATAAGTTTTCTGTAGATTTCAAAAAAATTGTTTTGTGTGCATTTAATGTAACTTTGTGTTGCACTCAATGTTTGTGTGCACTCAATATAACTTTGTTATATTTGTGAAACTTCAAACCACCTTAAAACACAAATGAATGAACAAAATTGAGAGACAAAATTTTACACAGCAGCAAGCATACCCATGTCTACAGCAAGCATACCCATGTCTACAACAAGCATACCCATGTCTAGAAAAATTGATCAATTATAATTGATCAATTATAACAACTGCTTTTTGATACCCGGTTCTATTTCCATCAAATTTTAACTTAAAATGAAAATTTGTTCAGATGAACCATATTACATTCCAGCATATAAATATATAGGAAGTAAATATATAATTTACTATACATTATATCCTGACCCCAGCTAACCCCTGCTATTGTTATTGGTTATCCAGGGTCAGAATTATAAAAAGCTCCATAATTAGCAAGGGCCAAAGCCTTATATATATATATATATATATATATATATATATATATATATATATATATATATATATATATATATATATATATATATATATATATATATATATATATATATATATATATATATATATATATATATATATATATATATATATATATATATATATATATATATATATATATATATATATATATATATATATATATATATATATATATATATATATATATATATATATATATATATATATATATATATATATATATATAATATATATATATATATATATATATATATATATATATATATATATATATATATATATGTATATATATATACATATCAAGCCACAAACAATTATTTACAACCAAAAACTCAATAAGCTACATGAACAAGATCCAGATTAAAATACTAAGTTTTACATGGTCTATTATAAAATGAGATAATATAACATAATATCATACAAAGATTCCTGAAAATCAATTTAAAAACTGAAATAGTATCAATGCACGTGTACAATACCAAATTTAAAGACTAAAAAATTATATGAATTGTTGTTAGAAAATAATTATTAAAATTTGTTAAAATTATAAAGTTGTTACATAGAATAAAAAAATAATCAATGATGTCAATAAAACGTTGTCAACAATGTCAATTGCAGTCAATAATGTCAACAATGTTGCAGTATACCTAACTATGTTTAAAATAATTAGGAATATTACTGCTTGTATTAACACTTATAAGTTCAGTATTAAGCTATTGTAAATGATATAAATTATATTCTTTAAGCATTTTTTTTTTTTTTTTGAAATTATATGCACACAAAAATTATAAAACAGACATTTAAAAAAAAAAATTAATTACTAAATTCTCCCTCAAGAACTATCTTTGCACCAATACCAATTTTTTCTGCAAGAAACTCGCAAACAGCGTCTTTACTGCAGTCATTAGTTAATTCAAGTGTTGCACGTATATATAAACCTAAAAATATCAATCTTTATTTTTTTTCTCTGCTAACATTTTATGAACATTTTAAATTTATATAGTTTTGCTTTTAAAACTTGTAGCACATATTTTTTATAAACTTATAGCACATAGTTGATATAGTAATAAAATTTTCTACAATTTTCTAATACATAAAAAAAAAGAATGGACAAAAAGAGCCTAAACATTTGCAAGGAGATAGGAGAGTTGTTGAAATTTAATTAAGACTTTTTATTATTCTATACTAAAGAAGTTTATTTTAATATTTGTATTAAGTATGAAAAAAATTAAAAAAAAGAAATGTCCATAAAAGATTCTTAATACTACATGGAGAGTGTCAGCAAAACAGATTTCTATAACAGTAGTAAGAAGCCCAATCCCACTTTAACCCCCACCCCACTTTCTGACAACCCCAATCCCACTTCACCTCTAGTTATAGGAACTTCAGAGCTATTATCTTGAATTTTAAATAAAAACCTTTTTTTATTTCTATGTCTTTTAATTCTGAGATTGCATCAAAATGTGTTTTTTTCTTAGTCACTTGTGAATCAGTTGCATTATTTTGTTCTTTCTCTGAATCCTTATTTCTTTTATATCTAGACGGCTTCAAATGCTTTGCATGATGATTAGCCACTTTAGAATGTAACTTTAAATAACTGTAAAGATAAAAGTAAAAAAAAAATTAAAAACCACAAATTTAAATGAATTCGTAATAAAAAAAATTTCAAAAAAAAATACACAAGAGAGTGTATAATGCATGCACTAAACAGAGCAGAAACTCAATTACAAAAAAAGGTGTAGGGTTAATTTAATCTCTATCAAAAAGGTGTAGGGGTGTAATCTCTATCAAGTCTACTAATTGAGTTATGAGTATTATTTAGCACCTTTATTTTATTTAACTAAAAAACATTATTTTGGTACAATTGTCATAAAAAGTTACTTTTTATAAGTTGTGTTTTATTTAACTGAAACAAATATTTGTAAAACAAAGTTAAACATAGTTTTAAATTTTTTAGTTATTTAAAAAGCTTTGAGTTTAACAAGAGCAAGTGAGCTCACCTCTGAATCTGAATCTGAAATATTTCTAAGAAAAGTTTTTGTCTTTATGTTTTTATATTTGTTTTGATTATATTAATTTGTTTTTTCAGTTGATGAGTTATAGTTAAATATTGATATATTTATACATGCAATTTATACATTATAGATATATGAATATTTAAAATGAATAAATATAAAATGATAGGAGGTATAAGATAAAGAAAAAACATTATTGCTTTTGTGTAATCATAGTTCATGTAGTGGTTGTAATAAACTTCCCCTTAGAATTGTGTATATTATAACCGGCATTTCCAATAGGTTCAGCACCAATACCTAGTTTATCCAATCAGATAAACATCATCACCATTTATGCTTTACTCCACGATTTATGTTTGCTTCATACTGCAGTGAAAAAATAACTTCACTACAATAAGTCAAAACCCTAACATCACCTATATTTGTAAAGCACTAATGTTTTTGAAGAAGTAATATGGATAGTGAGAGATGTGAATTTTCAATACTGAATACTATAAGGAAATTCAATTAAAATAAAAAATATATATATATATATAAATAAATAAAATAAGATAAATATATAAAATAAAATATAAGTAAAAATTTTAATAAACATGATAAAAAGCAAATTAAAAAAATATAACTGATAATATATAATAATAAAAACTACTATATTCTAATATAAAACCACAAAAACTCAACTACACTACCAATGTAATAAATGTTGTTAGTTAAAACTTTATTATAAACACAAGTCGCTAAAATTGGCACTTATTGGATAAACAAAACGAAACCGATAAGATATAAAAAAATATTTAAGAAAACCATACATAGTTTAATGCCTTCATAGATACCTAGATCAAGTGTTGCTAACCAATCAAAAAAACAGATTTTGAATAAAATATAGCAACAACAACAACGAAAACAGCAAGCGAAACCACTTCAACATCAAAGGTTAAAAACTGTGTAGGGTGAGAAAAAATATATATATATATATGTATAAAAAAAATGACAACCTAAAAACTAACATGTTTCCATATATAAACACACATAACCATACATATGTGTATGCATACATATACATATACATACATACACACACATACCAATAGTTGTCGTAAGTATTGAATGTTCCAGCACAATAGAGTCAAATAATACTAGAAACCAGCATAAAAGTTTAATAACTGAACCATATCTAGCTAACCCAGTCATATTCAAATTACTTTCGATGGATTTAACATCTATACATAACATAAGGATTTATATTATCTCCTGGTTCTAAAAACTAGTTCAGATATATTCCAAAAACAAACATATTTTTCAGTGGAAAGAATTCTGTATTTCTGTTGCTTAGGTACGCACAAAAAAATAAATAGGGAAGCACACATAAAAGTAGTATCGTATATAGAAAATATTAAGGATAAGATCATTTAAATAAGATTTAAATGATCTTATCCTTTAACATTTAAATAAGATAGTTTAAAAAAGGTTTTGTACCAAGATGTTTAAGATGATTTACAAATAAGGGTGTTGTGATGTTGTGCATATGTATGTAACATGAAAAAGTTTTGCAACAAGATATTTACATATTTATCATCTTCATGAAGAGGATGAAGAAACCATCTTCATGAAGAGGATTAAGAATCACCTTCATGAAGAGAATGAAGAACCGCCTTGATGAAAAGGATGAAGAACCACCTTAACGAAGAATATCAAGAATCATTTTCAAGGAGGAGGATGATAAATAGCTAGAAAGTATATTACCTTTTAATGATTTTAAATAAATATTTTTAAAGCAGAACAAAAGTTATATAAAAATTTGTATTCTTTAAAATGAGATTTAATTTTTACAAGTATAGCTTACAAGGTTTAAATTAATTTTTTTGGTTCATCAAAATAAAAAAAAACATCAAAATCAGTCAATTTATAACTTAAAAATATTGAAATGTTTTGTTTTTGTTGATTAACAAGCCCCTATTTTTAAGTTATAACAATATTTTTTCTCATGTCAGAAGAGTTTATGAACCACAATAAAACACAAACTTTAAAATTTTTTTTAGTTTTTAAAATAATCTTACACAATATTTTTAAAGATATATTTTAATTTTTTTTTTTTAATTGGTAAAGTTTTCTCATATTTTTTTTTTTACATCTAAGAGGTATATATTTTGTATTACTTTTTATTTTATTTTGTTCAAAAAAATATAAATGTATCTACATTTTTATATCTTTTTCGTTTTTTTAGGATTTTAGTTTGAATATTGAACCACATTTATTAGAAAAAATGATTCAATTGTTGAAAAGGTATTTGAAGATGCTGAATAAGATGATTATGCTGAATATGCTATTTTAACACATACTCATATGAAATCAGTATAAGAGATCAAAACTTATTTTTGTAGTCATAAACTGGCAACAATAATAAAAAAATTAACTTTCCTGTTAAGTTTTTGAACAGCTTAACTCCTTTGGTTGGTTCTATGTCTATTTAGATCTCCTCATTTTATAAAAATAAAAATTGGTAGCAAAAATATGTTACTTCAAATTTTAATTCTTTAAGCTGGCTTAGGCAATGGCACTTATGATGGCACAAATGAATGGTTTAAGTTCTACATTTTGTTACGATTCTACTATTTGGTTTTAGTTTACCAACTAAACCAAATGGTTAATAAGTAAATTTTCAAAATTAGAAATTTACTATATTAACTTTTAGTTAACAGTTTTTAGTTAACAACTTTTAGTTAACAGGAGAACTGAACATGACACAATTGTGAATAACTTTGTTAACTGGTAACATTACAAAACATGTTTTTATGATTTACTATTGTGCTATTGCTGTTTTTCATTACTATATTGTATATGTCAGTTAACAGCAATTTAACTAATAAATATAATAACTAATAAATTTAATATTTTCTTTATATTAAAATAGCAATTTTTATTATACTTATAATAATATTATCAATATAATTTGTTGTCTTTTTTATAAGATTTTGAAGTATATACAAGTACGTGTTGGGTTTTTTTTATATATCTTTAAAAAAATTCAATTAGTTTGTTTATAACCTATAGATATTATTGACATAAAAATCATTAATAATCTGTTTTACTTATTGCTTATGGTTAATATAGATTACTTACTGTTAGATCTAAGTAAAAATGGTAATATGCGGTTTTAATTACAAAAAAAATTAAAAAAATTTAACAAAAATTTGTTAATTGTGCTAAAAACCTTAAGCACAAAAATGAGAAAGAACTGTTAAATTAATTAATGACCTAGCTATGTTAATAACTTTTTTTCATTTGAATAAAAAGTTTGTTTTTAATAAACTTAATTTGTTTGTTATGTTATACCTATCTATTACATAATTAATTATTTATTTTTCATTCATTATTTAATTATTAGGAGTGCATGTAAATATTGATTTTAGAGATTTTTATGCTATAGTAAAGCAAAAACGTTGAGCGCTTTATATTTAATGCATCAAATATAATTTTTATAATATATTAAACTATACCGTTTATCCAATAGTCTACGACTGCTTGTACTGTCTTCCTTGTTTTCATCCTTATTTTCTTCACCTTTTCCGCCATTTTCTTCCTCACTTTTCTCTTGACATTCAGGACGATCTTTATTTTTAGGATTTGTGCAGTAGTTTTTGTGAGCATTGCTAACCAATAATACTAAAACATATAAAAAATCTAAATTTATAATGAAAAGTATTTATTTTAAAGATCTAGTAAACAATTTTTACTAATTATTACAAAGTATTATTAATTTAATGAATTAAATTTATAACTTATCAATTTTTTTTCTAAAAAAAAAATTCCAAGCATAAAAAGTTTGTTATTATTTTATTTTTTTTATATTTCTTTCTAAGTTTTTTATGTTACAAATCAACTTAATTTTTGTGTTTTATGTTTATGTATTATTTCAACTTAGTCCTTTTATGTTTTATTTCAAGTTGATTGCAAAGTTAAACAATAAAATTTCTAAAAGTCAATTATGACTTTTAGAAACTTATTTGTGCAAAATGTATGATAATTTATGATAATGTATGATATTTTAATTTTTTTATTTATCTTCATACTTATAGATGCATCTTTTAGCCATGTAGCAGTCATATCCATTCCAGTTAACTTTTTGAAAACAGCATCTAAACGCTCTTTATTAACAACAAAACCAACAGCAATTCCAGTAGTTGTTGATGAGGCTGGGTCATCAGGTGTCCATATATAGCCTGCTAAAGTCACTGTTGGCAATGAATTAATAAGTGGAATCCCTGAAATCCTATATAATTACAAGTTGAAAAGGTTTTTAAACTTCAAACATATGAAACATTTTAAAACAAATAAATTAAACAAAAAGAGTAAAATATAAAAACAATAAAAATCAAAAATACTAAATTATCAATAGGCTTGTAACGAACTAATATTATTATAAATTGAAGAAGGGAAAAAAAACTAAGTAATCAGTAAGCTTGAAACAAACTAATATAAATAAAAATAGAAATTGGAAAAACAAAATTTAATCTTTTTTATTTATATAATATTTAATAAAAGTAAACAAAAAAGAAATGCAATTTGTATTAGTAGACTCTTGTTATTTGTGTACATAGATATACCATGATTACAGTGAATCATGATACATATGTAGTTATTAAATATTGTATTCCAAATGTTTAATCTTTAATTAAAATGTGCTGATTTAACATCAAAACTAGGATAAAAAGTTTCATCTACAAATAAATCCACACGAAATTTGATTTTAAAAAATAAACAGTTTTAGAAAAATCAAAAGTTTAAACTACCTAAAAATTGACAAAAAAAAAAATAATAAGCTTGGGTAAAGGCAAATTTAATTGAACAAATTATCAAAGGTGACCAAAAATTGATTTTTTGAAAATCATATTAATCCTATTCATACTGAGTCATGCTCTGAAAGTATGACACTATCTAAACATTTTTTACCAGGTTTACTCAAATTTGTTTAAACTTTTGGACTTTTTATTTTATACTATACCAGACTATTTTTAACATTAACATGTGACTGAAATGGTTTCACAGTGTTCTTTTGCGGTCTTGTCAATGCCAACTTTAAACTTGACTTTTTTAACACTTAACTCTCCAGTACTATAATTGTTTGTAACGAAATGAAGATTAATTTTATTATATATTTTATTGTATGTTTAATATAGTATTTTACATTATTTCTAAGCAGAAATAATGAAATAAGTATAGTATCAGTTCAAACACTAAAATATGAAGCTGAAGGTGTATTTTAGCTGATTAAATATTTTCAACATTAATGCCAATATTCTCAACGATAATGAAAAACCTGACAATAATTCTCATAATAACTATTTTATTAAGTTCAATAAGAAATCAAGTATGTATTAATATATGTAAATATAATATAGTTTCTGTGTATGTATACATCAACTACATTATTTTTGCAGTTGTAATTATGAAATTTGATAGCCTTCAACTAGTTGCTATTATGATGCAAATTAGATAAAATAATCATATTTACTAACACAATTATTTTGTAATAAGTCTGCTTTAGTTTCCAAAAATATTTCTAAAATGACAGTAATAAGGTATGTAATGATTTCTGAGTCAGCGATACTAATACTAGGTCATTAGTCATTAAATGGTATGTAATGATTTCTGAGTCAGCGATACTAATACTAGGTCATTAGTCATTAAATATTCTTTATCAGAGCAATCAGAATTATAAATCAGAATGATTTAATTTGATTTGTTTTAAGAGTATGCAAATTTCAGGTTCAATCAGTTTGTTGTTTTAAAAATTTATCATATTTTGCTGTAGGAGCGCAACAGAATACCTTAAATGTCTCCATATTAATATGATTTAATTTGAGTTGCTTTGAGAGTGTGCAAGATTTCAGGTTTAATCGATTTGTCATTCAAAAGATTTCACGCTCCAAGAGTGCAACCCAATATAAAATAGACTTTCATAACCCAGTACAAATAGAGTTAAAAGTTGAACAAGAGATTACAAAAAACTATTGAACTTCACATTTAAATTATGTAAGGTATAGTTATAAAAAAAAATTTTATTTTCTTGAACTGCACAGATATTTTTCACATATAGACCTTTTAAAAACTCTAAAATATAACCATATATAGAGAGCAAGCATGATATTGTTTTAATAATTTATTGTTATTAAACAAGCAATCAAAAGAGTATGCAAAAGTATGCATAAGTGAAACATTTGACTAGTTAAATGCTTTTACTTATGTTATAACTCTTTGTATGTAAGAGAATATCATCACTGAGATCCAAAGATACAAAAAACAAATTCTAAAATCTCTTTCATATCAATAAAAAAAATTCCTTTGAAAATTACAAATATTTAAACAATTTAATGTTGATAATGGTATATTTTACAGTTCAAATTTCAAGCACTACTATTTTTAATTTAAAAACTTTATTTCAAGTTGATTTTTACAAGATAATTTTAACATTAAAACTAACTTAAATCAACAAATTTAACTTTATAGACAATACACACACATTTATAAATGTCATAAAAAATTACTTATTTTGTGTTAAATCCTTAACACAAAATAAGAGCAAAAACAACCCACAAGATCTTAAACATTTTTTTTACCTTAATCTTGAGCACTATTGATGCATTTACATAAACTTACAAATACATATTTCTCTAGTGCAAACTGTATAAATAGTATAATTTTATAAATAGTATATAATAGCATTTATATATATATATATATATATATATACACACACACACACACACACACACACACACACACACACACACACACACACACACACACACACACACACACACACACACATACAATAGTCTAAAAATATTGTTTTGCCTTATGAAAACAGCTAAATGAAAAAAAAAGTAGTGCACCATAAAAAAAGAGTTATTTTATGGGTTTACATATCGAAACTTAATAACTTTTTATTAAATCAAAAATTACTAACGTAATTTCAGTACTTCCTTTCTTGTTCAAAGTAGCTGATATTTCAACTTCTAAATCTTTAATTCCAACATTTAAATAATCTTTAATAAATTCATTACCAGCAAATGGATTAGCTCCAAAAGCACTTGCAACGGATGCAACATCTATAAAAGCAACTTTGATAACAACCTTGAAAGTTTTTTCAGAATCAAACGTTATTTCTACACTTCCATTGATGTCAGGACCAAACTGTTAGTTATAAAAAATTATTTTTAAATTAAGTAAAAATTAAAATAAGTTAAAAGTTTTAAACCAAAAATAATTCCATAAAAAAAACTTAAAAAACAATTCAGTAAAAATGGAAAATTTTTCTATTAACATTTTTTTATTCGTTTTTTTTTTTTGTGTTATTATGGCACAAAAAATTTAGGGTACTTGTTTTTCAAAAAAAAAAACTTTATTTAGGGTACTCATTTTTTAAAAAAAGCTAAATATAGTTTCGGTACAACAGTTTTATGTTGTGTCATTTATACAAAAAGTTTTTTATTCAAGAGTATGAGTAGTAAAAAAAGGATTTTTAGAAACTCAAATACAGTGCAAAGGGTCAAAAAAAGAAAAAAAAAGGACAATACAAAAGTTTCTACCCTCCTATTTATTTATAAATGATTGTGACTGCGAACTTTATTCTGATTAAAAATTATATAAAAATATAAGTTATAAATATAAATAGTTTTGGGACCTGAAAATTAATGCAAAGTTCTCTATTTTACATTAGAAGATATATATTAAAATTTTACATCAGAAACTAAAAATATATATTAAAATAATCACATTCAGTATTTTTTTGAAAATCTTTTTTTGGGTGATTCGCAACTTAAGCAACTTCTTACAACATTTAAAATAGCTGGTTTTTATTAACATCAATTTTACACTGATGACTTAATTTATTAGAAGAATTTAAAAGTTAAAATAATTTTTAAATAATGAAAATAATAGCTGCTATGTAATTTTTATTTATATATAAATATAAGTTCATGATATCAAGTTAAGCAATATTTTAAAGGTAAATTTTTAATGGGAAAATAAAATCCAGGCTGCGTAGTTATAAAAGAACTTTTATATGTTTTTAATCTTGTAATTTTATATAAAAGGATTTTTGTATTAGCTTCTTTTTGATAATTGCAGTTTAAAATAGAGTTTTCTCAAGATTAAATATTTTAACTTAATAGTGTTATATTAAATTTGCATTTTTTTGTGGATATAAATCAAATTGATTTCAATAAATTTAAATGGCTGGTGGTCGCCTGTCAACTGCTTTTTTCAACAAAATAGAACTTGTTTCTGCTGCTGGTAATTCTTTGGAGCAAGGTTTATTAATATAATTTTGACCTTATTATTAAAAGAATATATACCTTTACTATTTATAGCAAATTGTAAATTGTAATGAAGCACTTATGTATATAATTTTGTATATAATTTTGAAGGTTAAATGGAAAATACTGACCATAAACTCAAATGAAATGCTCAAAATTAGTGAAACCAAACAAGTTATATTCTGTTATATTTTCTGCCAATAATTCAAAGCTCTGTGAACAATGCTACTTAATAAAACCAGGACATGTTGACAACTGTACATTTTTTTAACTGCTGTAAAAAAGTTGACTTTTCTTTCCGCAAGTCTGGAAAGCATTTAAAATGAAAAAGTTGATTCAGGTATAATATAAAATAAAATGAATGCAGACTGCATTTCAAGAGGCAACATTTACTTTATTTCAAAAGGGGCAACATTTACTGTTGGATGTTCTTCAAACAAGGTAAATCGAAGATCAGTAAAACTAGTATTCTTACAAGTTACAAAGGAACTTCAAGTCGTTTTAGAACTTTCTAATCAAAAAATTAAACAGTTGATATCGATTCTTCAGAAAGGAATAGGGAGTAAGACTATTGTAAAAACTAACATTTTTGGCAAATTAAATGATCTTTCGGAACCCATATCACATTTTTATCATGTAGAAAAGGTAATTTATATTTTAGATATATTGATATTTATATATTATTTATAGATATATATCTAGTAATATATTGATAAAAAAATTGGTCTTATATAAAGTTGTTTTCTAATTTAATTATTAATTCTTAATTTTCTTATTTAATTATTATTAATTTAATCTAATTTAATTATCTAAAAAATTATATAAAACTATATAATTTATATTATATATAACTATATAAAATATATAATTAAATAAAATAAATAATAAAAAATTATATTATTAATAATCTAATTTAATTATTAATAATTTAATTTTCTAATGATAAATGATATGTAAAGAGAGATCACTAGGACTAAAATGTCCTAATCCTATACTAAGACAGAAACTGATCTTATATTAGATCAGACAAGGCTTTTTAGCCATGGTGATGGCAACTTACTTTGAATCCTAATCTTCAGTAGGTAGTGGTAGTATCACAGTAGGTAGTGGTAGTATCACAGTAGGTAGTGGTAGTATCACAGTAGGTAGTGGTAGTATCACAGTAAAAATATTAGTCCTGATCTGTAAACCAGGTTAACACCAGGAAAGATATTCAGTTGTAAAAATATTTTTTAACTCTTCTATAATGCCATATAAATATTTAAATTGCCATTAAGATAAATCTGTCCAAGCTAAACAAGTGTGAAACCATGAACAATAAACATATATAAAAAAAAGTACTATTTGTAATGGCTTAACATGGTTGTTCATTACATAATATGTTTATATAATGTGTAACCATTAATATACATACATTATATATTATTGTATATATATTAATGGTATATATATATATGAATTAGATTGTGTATAACTTACATAAATTTTTTGTGTTTTTTCATTAATTTTTAAGTTTTTTTAGTAATTTTTATAGACAATATAATGACATTAATGAATGTGAAAAAATAATGACTCATCAATTTATACATCTTTACAGATGGATTTCCTAGACAGTGAATTGGGAATTGTTGAAAAGAATCTAGCGTATGTTCAAGAGTCATAATCTTTCACACGTGATTTGATAAATCAAAGTGGTTTAGACCTTCATTCTGTCTTTTTATGAATTTCTATGGATAGTGGAGGATCCTTTTTGAAAATTATAACCATGGAAAAATTATATCTATGGATAGTGGAGGATCCTTTTTGAAAATTAATACCAATGTTTTTAATATAAATGAAAAAAAAAACCTTATGTAATTTACATGGATAGTGGTGTTCAACGTTGTTAAATTCTTGCTATTGTTAAAGACGCTTCTGAATCAAATCATAACTTAAAAATAGTATTAGAAATACCCAAGTTACAAGATGTCAATTTTTTTGTAGTATTTGATATAAGGTGCGCCAATGTTGTGTTGGGTCTGTCAGGTCTGCAGGAAAAAGAGCATGCCTGCGCTGTGAAGGTTTGAAAAATGGAGAATGTAGAAAGCTAAGAACTCTTGGAAGTCTTGATTATTGGTGTGACACTTGACAGTGTGGAAAATAAGTCTAAAAAAAATCTAACATGCAACACTATATGAATGTGATATATCCAAGGATTATTATCTAGAGAAGAGTCTAATTACAGTTAGTTAGAGATACTCTAATTACAGAGTATAAGTTGGCATTTACCGTGTTTAAAAATTCTTTCCTTTCTACCCAAGAGCTTGCACAGACTCAAGGGGAAAAATGTTCATTAAATTTCAATTTTTGCTGTATTATATTCAAACACCATAACTGTGGCCTAGCTAAGTTTGCTGAAAAGTGTGGAGAGGGTATTTATAGATTTTTTTTGTTTTAGTTTTTTCAATTGCTCAGGAATGCTCAAAGTCTTTATTTGTAACAGGTATCTAATATTCTTAAATGGGTTTAAGACCTCTCAATTTTACCTTTTGTCCCATTTGTAAATCTTAGTTCTTTGTTCCAACTTTAAAAACTTAATATTATTTACTATTTTTATAATATTTTTAAATAATTTATTTATTATTTGTAATGGGCGTTTAAATTGGTCAAATGGGTTTCGGACTCTTCAATATTACATTTTTGCCCCATTTGAGACCTTTAGAACTTTTTTCAGATTTTAAAAAAAAGCTATATTTTATTTTTATAAAACTTTTATATTTATAATGCTCTAAAAAAAAAAAAAAAAAAAGTTTCATTTGAGTGACGTGACATAAAACCTGGGTATCTCTTATGCCAACTGTGGTACATAACACCACGTAAAAAAACTTCTTTTAAAAATTAATTTACTCCCAACAAGGCTGCAAGCAACTACTAATAAATTAAAAATAAAAAAAAAAAAGCTCAAAAAATAAACATATTGCCTATTTTTTGTTGTAAAGTTGTCACGAAAACATGAAAATAGTAGTGCGTAACAAAGCATTGAATTTTTTGAGCACTAGGTTTAAACTTTGCTAAATGACAAGCCATGCAAGATTGTGTTTTGATGGTAACAAAAGATGACGATTTTTTTATATATTAATATAATATTTTTATATAAGAATAAGAAGAATAAGATAAATAGATAAATAAAATAAAGAATAGGAAGAATAAAGATAATAAAACACTTTAAAAAATGACAGTACTCTTCATTTAAATAATTAAAAATGTTGAAACCAAAATTAAAAACAAAAATTAAAACAAATCCAAATTTTAATTTAAATTGAGGAGAAATTTAACTTAAATTAAAGGTAAATATTTACAAAATTTGCTGCAACATTTATTTGTAAAACTAGTTGTTTCATTACATTTTTTTATTATTTAATAATAAGATATCAAAAAATATTTTAAAAAAATACTATGTTAACTTAAAACAAGAACAAAATTCTTACATTTACTTCAGCACTTGCAGTAAATGACCATGGTTTATCTGCTGCTTCTTTGGAGACATTTAGCTCAATGTTAGAAATGCTTAATGGACCAAATAAATTTACACTTTGTGAATATTTCACAGACAACTTGAATGATTTTTCATCTAAAATACATTTTTTTTAATCATAAAAATTTTATTCATTACTATACCTGATGCATGCAGAAATTATTCTAATGTTATTAAAATTAGAAAATTGCTGTTTCTATAGTTAAATTAACATAAATTTAAAAAAATAAGAAATAAAGACACTTTAACTTGAATTTGAATTCTAATTTATTTAAATGTTTTTCAAAATATGTGAAACTTTGTTTTAAAAATGGACAATATCAAACTTTTTCAGTTTGTAATACTTGTTGTTTTATAGTTTTTTAGAGAAAAAGTGTTGAACCTTAACAGATGAAAAGTTTCTTGGTGCAGATTTCTCTGTTTTTTTTTTTTTTTTAGTTTTCAGAATAGATTTTAAGAATCTTTTAACTCAATATAAAATTATCATTATATTTCTTTAAACTGTCAGCTGTTGAGGGTAAAAGTTTAAACTCAAATATCAGTTATATGTCCGAAATTTTTTGAAACATGTGCTGTCTCATTAGTTCTGATAAATGTTTATTCTGCTTATTTACCGTTATTCATAGAATAACGTCTTGGTTATTTGGTTATTTTTGGTTTCGGTTATTCTATGGTCTACTTTATGATGTACTTTTATGAGTCATCACAAAAACATTTGGTTACAAAACAATATTTGCAAAAAAATAGTTTTACGCAAAAGGATGATATCATTTGTATCTTTGAAAATAATGACAATTCATAACTCACTTTTCTAGAATGTATAAATAAACAACATTTAACCTCAAATTTACTAAAGAGGAAGAAATTGATCATAAATTGAACTTTCTTGATATAATAATCAACTCTATAAATAATAATTTTAATACTTGAACGTTTTATAAAAAAACTTACACAGGTTTACTGACTAATTTTATCAGCTTCACTAATATTAATTTTAAACTAAGACTTATTAAAATTCTGATTGACAGGTTTGACACAGATTGACACTCTGATTGACAGACTGATACTCTGATTGACAGTCTTAAAAATCAACAACAACTGGGTAATTTTCATCTAGATATTGTAAAAATTAAACAAACTCTTCAAAAAAATGCTTTCCTTTTAAACTTAATTGACACTCTGATATACTATAGCTAATACATAGCTAAGAATGCAATTATATTATTTTTGCACTCTTTATCTGAAAACGTGTGCTTTAATATATATATATAATTATATATATTTTTTAAAATATTGACCTGGATTAATGTCGATTTCTTTAATATCAAGAGGAGGTCGAAAACCTTCAGGAAATAATAACTTTGGTAATTTAATTGCTGTGTCTTTTGAAACACATTTCATCATA